TATATATATATAAACTTTACAGGAAATACATAAAAGTGAAACAAATAATTTTCTGAAGTACAATCTTGGTAAATACATTCTTAGTAACAAAAAATCATCAGTAAAATCAGAAATTTTATGTCGATATCCTTCGAACATATGTACATATTTGTGGTAACGTCCTATTTGATCATATTGCGATTGACCACAGTTATTCTAGTACCTAGTTTTTTCGAGACAAACTCTGTAAGTGGCTTGTGATCATTACAAAGTAGTCAAACGACTCTCGCCCCATATTTGTACATATCTGTAACTAGGTCTGATGTAAAATTAATTTATAGATGGCTATAGTAAGATGCATGAATTACCATATCCCGTGTAATATCTTTTACGGACTTGCAACCTAAAAGAAACACTGATTTTTGAAATATTTCACTAAATTAATCAATAAAACATTAATATAAAAATTTTTGCATTATTTTACCAGTTAATGCGAATGCAGAATCAATTTCTTTCCTCATAAGTTCAAGAATCTCGTAAGCACCTTTCTCGCCATTATATGCCAAGCCCCATAGCATCGGTCTACCAATAAATACCTGCAAAAACACGATCAACTAAATTTGGACGAAAATGTACAAGTGAAAATTTTATATAACGATAAAAGAACTATTTGAACAGTAATACGTCTATAAATTAAACGAAAATTATTTACATATCTATAATATTTTATTATATTGTGTATATATTTATATTCAATGAATACCATTTTTGCACCCAATGCCAATGCTTTAAACACGTCAATGCCTTGCATCACTCCACCATCCATATAGATTTCAACTTTATCTCCTACAGCTTTGCTTATTTCAGGTAAAACTTCGATCTGTGAATACAATTATTTCAATAATTCACGTACAGTATATACTATATAATCTTCTAAATGATTGTCTAATACTCTAAGTTTTCAATATCGAAAGCTGTTTAAACAAGAAATGAACCAACCGTTGCTGGAACACTATCTATCTGACGCGCACCATGATTTGATACTATGATGGCATCAGCCCCATTTTCCACGGCTAAACGTGCATCCTCTACTGTTAATATTCCTTTAAGAATTACCGGCAGTGTTGTAATTCTATTGACAAATTTGATTCAAATCGATATTTGATTTGCTGTATAGTAAAAAATACCCGTGTTCATATAGTCAGACCTTGTACTTAAAGCTTAAATTTATCTTTGCTCAATAGTCAATGAAATAATTCATAGAGCATCTAAAGATAAATTTAAGGAAGTCTGTAAATATAAGGCTGTCTGTAAATACGGATATTACTGCTCCAAAATGTCGAGATAAGGAAAGTTCACAAACAATGATATGCAGATACCTTTTAAGCCATTTTACGTCATCCCAGGAAAGAGATGTATCGAACAGTGCAGTAACATATTCATTAAGACCAGAGCCAGTCTTCGCTGAATTTATTCGTTTCGATAAATCACCTTGGAAATTTGCGAATCTAAAGCAAAGACATAAAATTCTATATTTTTACCGTATATTATTATAAATTTTACTTAAATTTAAAATACATAATATATCTAGGAATTGACTATTTCATTGTGTATATTATATTATCTATTTTAAATTTACAAAGTTAACTATTTTTTGTATTTATAAACATTGAAAAATGATCTAATCTTTTCTTGGTAGATTAGCTTTGAAAAGTAAAAAATGAAAAATACTTTTTTTTTTATACATAGAACTCTTACAAATGCTGCCGTTAATTATCTCTTTGTATTCTTTACAATTAATAGCAATTTATTAACTTATACTGCTACGTATTTTTATATAAGTACATTTACTGCATATTCAATCTTTTCTATATACTTCTAGATGCCTACCTCAAATGATTAGGCAGTGAAAATTTATTTCTCAAATCAGCGCGTCGATCACCAAAAATTGGCGCATCGATGGTGAGAACCAGTGCTTTGAAACCAGCACGTTCGGCGCGTCTTATCAAATTTAAGGTAACATTTCTATCAGTATAAACATAGAGCTGGAGCCACTTTATACCCTTCGGTGCAGCTTCTGCCACTTCCTCTATACTGCTCGTGGCTATCGTCGAAAGAGTGAAAATCGTTCCTGCTGCTTGAGCAGCTACAAATAGATAAAAGTAACAAAACTATTTGCAGTAAAAAAAAATTTTAATAATATATCTATAATTGAATAAAGCTGTCCGAATATTTTATTATACATATAATATACATAATTGTATATATTTATTATATGTATAATAAAAATATTCGAACAGTTTCATTCAATTTAGAAATTTTACTATAAGCGATCTGCTGGTTGAATTAAGCTCATTTCCATCAATATAGATTAACTTTAATCTCGGTTCAACTTACTCTTCGTCTTTTTCTAGTTCTAAAGATTAGAAAAAGACAAAGAATAAGTTGAATATTATTTATTATATTAATTGATTAAATTAACTGAAGTTTGTGTGTGTGTGTGTGTGTGTGTGTGTGTGTGTGTGTGTGTGTGTGTGTGTGTGTGTGTGTGTGTAAATCTAAGTAATTAAAACTTGCTGAACCAGCAGAAGCTTAAAGCAAAAAATTTCTAACTATAATAAATTATAATTCATTGTTCTTAATATTTCTTTCATATACTCCTTATATATCTTAAACAATAAAACTTAGTTTTTCTATCCGCGTATATTATAATAAATTATAATACACTGATATATATTATTAGACATATTAATAAAATAGTACTATTAAATGTCTCGTCAAGATGTATGTCAACTATTTAATTGGTACACATATTTTATATATTATACGATTTTAAATTGTCGAAAAAGGATAAAAGTTAACAATTACATAAAATTTTTAAATGTCCTATATCTTTTAACAAAAGACAGTACAAAATGATGTCACAATGAAAATAATACACAATGCGAAAGAATTGCGTACGTTTATTAATTGTTACTTCCATATGTATCTTTCACAAGATCTGCTGCATGAGTTACGAATAATACAGATAATGACAGGTTACGCGTGTTACAAAAACAGGTCGCATGACGTAATCTTACAGGTAAAATCGAGATTTACAATACTAGTATGATAGTTGGAATAGTGCAACAATATAACGCGCTATAATTTCAATAGTAAAAAATACAGAGCGATATGACGTCGCAAATTGCCGTTGCAGAAACTAAATCAGAGTAAAACATGTTAAAACCAATTAACAAGATCATATCCTATTAACAATGACATTTCTAATCGAAGTTGACTTTTGGAAATTCAACTTTAGAAATAATTTTACACAAATATCAAAGGTTTGGATCTTCCCCGAGACTTCGACTTCAGTTAATTTATAATTAATTGAAAATTAATTTTAAATAGCAATTACATTATATATATTATATGGTATTCATATTTTATAAGCATGAAAATAAAATTATTTTTGCTGCTTGAAACATGGAAAAAAGGATCAAAGAATAGTTAGAGAAGCAAGCAATTCCGCCAATAAAATTAAACGCAATTAAGTTAATTACAGTTTTTATCAAAACAATGTCAACAATATTTTGTTAGCTTGAATTGTGGTTTAAAAAAACGAGTTAAATTAAAAATAATTCTGTTGATTAAATTAATCGTCAATTAATTCAATTAATAAATAATTTTTTGTAACAATAAAAGTATACATTGTTGCTTGAAGCAATGAAAAAAAACTAAAAGGTAATAAATTATATAGTAATTAGAAATTTTTCTTCGAGCGATT